AATACAAAACGGATTAGATTTGCTCGTACTCTTGCATATGCGTATGTACATATGCGCGTGTGAAAAATTTTTGATTTCAACGTCTGATTCTTCTTCATCTTTTGATACTTTATAAAAATCTAGTATATTGTATGTTGAATACATCCGAATTTGATTTATGTATTTATTTATATACATTAAGTTAAAGTGAAATACACAAACAAAGGTCGGAGATGTGTGGGGAAAAAATTAGATTTGACCTTCGCCAGCTGACAGAAATTCGGCCGTGAGGAGTGTCAAAAGAAAGCGTTCTATGAGAAAACGGCGAGTGGATTTTGAGATTTTTTCATTGAAGGATATTAAAAAAAATAATATCGAAAGAAGAAAAAAAAATTATCTACCTATATATATGTGCATATGCTTATATGTATGTGAAGAATATATAAAAAATTCGCGGCAATAAAAATTATATGAAATAGTGTAAAAACAAAAAATTTATGGAATATATAGAAAAATTAAAAAAAAAAATTAATTAAAATTATACAAAGTTCAAAAAATATATTTTCTTAACATATTATAACTTGTTCATTCTGCGCCAAAAATCCAACGCAAATGTGTGTGTGTGTTGAAACATATAATATAAATAATTTAAATTTTATGAATTTAGTATATACTACAATATATATGTAGCAATATAAAAGTGTCATTATCAAAAATACTTATATTTGCATTTATATATGTATGTATGTAATACATACACACTCAAAACGTATTAAAATATACATTTTAACCAGCGGCGCGCAATAAGTTCTAGCATTAGGCACGAATTCCTAAGAATCCTTAAATAAAATATTAAATTTATGAATGTATTTAATATATAATGCATAAATTTAATTTTATTTTACAAAATAAACCGCTATAATGCTTTGGTCTGGTATTTTGAGTGCTTTTTATAAACAGTTTTGTTTTCCAAAATGCTAATTTGTTACAATTATTTATTTCAGTAAAATTATTTATGCGTATTTGTTTTCAAAAGTTTCAATTAGTCACGAAATTTAACTCAATAATACTGTTCACGATAAATTCGTTCGAAATTCGTGTTAAATTATCCTTTTCACAAAAATTGAGTGCTTTAAATTTGCCATTAATGTTTATTTAAAGCTTTTCAGTGTATTTCGGTGAATGTTTTCATTAAAATTCATAGCGTTTTTTTCAAAGCAAACTTAAGAAATATTGAGATGAAAACTCAAAAATGAGAGAAATTCAATAAAATAACTAAACAAAATAAGCATTAAAAATTAAAAATTAGTTTAATTAAATCAAAATTAAATTAAAAGAGAGAAAAAAAATAAAATTTAATAAATTGAAGTAAAATAAAATTAATTAAAAATATACTACAACCAATTAAATAAAACGATAAGTTAAGTGAAATAAAAAACAAAAAAGAAAGTGAAAATTTTAAATAAAAAATAACTTAAAAATAATGCTAAGAAACAAAAAAAATTAAAGTTCAAAAAGGCAAAATAAAGTTAAACCAGATAAAATAAAATAAAATAAAATAAAATAAAATAAAATAAAATAAAATAAAATAAAATAAAATAAAATAAAATAAAATAAAATAAAATAAAATAGGTAAAAATAATTTATATAAATAATAACTAAAAATAAAACAAAATATAATTACAAAAAATTAGAAAATGAGAAAATCAAAAAGAATCATATAAATATAAATAAAATAAATTAAAATAAAATATAAGCAAATAAAAATAAACATATTAAATAAAAATAGAATAATAAAAAGGTGCAAAACAGTTACACAACTTCAAAAAATAAAAATAAATAAAATTCGCCACAATGAAGCGTTACAAGCTCTACCCATACGTAAGCAGACAAAAAATGAAAATAAAAGAAATATTTGTGTTTTATTTTCACGTTTCACGTTTCCTTGTGTTGTTGTTGTTAACACTTGTGTTCTAATTCGAAATAAATATGTGAAAAACTTTTCAAATATTGTATATAAAAAACATATCTGGTACTTTTCTGTATGTACTTTCCTACAACAACTGTGTTTCTTTACTTACTCCAACGCTCTTGTCTATACCAATAATTAACTTTTCACATCACAGTATATAGTATATAAATATAAGAAAATCGAGCGATCGGTCGGTGTGAAGCGCACGCGTAGCTAATTAAAATTATTGTATGTACTTGCTTTATTTTTTTTATTAATTTTGACAGACCCATGAGAATGAAAATCTGACATAGAAAAAAAGTTAATTCGCGAGTCGCACACACATAGTATATATGTATATATACATAAATATAACTTGCCTACGAAAATTTGCATGTTTTATGTAAAAAAAAGCTGATATAAATAAATCGAATTGCTATTTTTCCGCTATAACAAAAATAAAACAACATAAGAGTGCCTGTGTTGACGTACATATGTATATACTCGTAAATATTTGCGGACCCCAGTCGGGCCGAGAAAGCACCCGCACGCACACTCCGCGTTGTATTTAGTACATAAAAAACCTCTTCATTGGCTAATAAATATACTATGTATATACATACATACATACACATATATATATATATATATATATATATATGCATAATTTCTGTTAAATTTAATTGTGTGGAAATTTCTTCGAATGTTTTTCTTCTCTTTACTGAAAGTCACCCGCCGTTTTCGTACCCCGCATACACACATATATATATTTTTGGCATATATGTATGTATGAGTGTGTGTGGAATTTTGTCAATTGCGCAGGTGTTTTGTATAAATGTAATTTTCCAACTGTTTCACTGTCTAGCAATTAACTGTATATAAAGAAAAAGAAAGAGAAAAAAAAATAATAAAGACCAATTAAATAATAAACACGAAAAAACAACAACAAGCATTAAGTATACAAAATAGAAAATCAATTTAGTGCCAAACTCGAAGACACCCACACACACACACAAATAGGAAACGGAAAATGTCCCACCATCAGCCACCTTGGTCCATACGCAAAGGTATTTACCGTTCGAGCGGACAATCGGATTTCGTACCCGCTCGTTCGCCCAGTCCTATCGTTGAAATGCCGTTATCGCCACCACCGATCGTTACCAGTAACGGTGGCACACCCATCAGCCGCTTCTCGCCCACCTGTCCGCTTTCGCCCCCACCACAGCCCATACAAGTGATACCAGGTCCACCGGGACCGCCCATCTCCTTGATCAAAGACACTGTCGCAGCAACGAAAAACTCATCACTGACTACGAACGCCGCAGCAACGAAGAACTCATCACTGACTACGAATGCCGCAGCCGCCGTCGCCGCCACTACCTCAGGCACAGCAACGAAATCTCACGCTCAGTCAGTATCTGCAACTCAGTCTGCGTCATCTTCCACAAAATCATCATCTGCGGCGAGCTCTTCATCGTCATCGTCGTCGTCCTCGTCGTCCGCGCGTATGTCCGCAACATCATCCTCTTCGTCCTCCTCATCATCATCTGCTGCTCGTTCTGTACGTAAAAATTCTTGTCCACCTTTTCAGCATTTCAGCTCGCCTCAAATCGCTTCACTACCACCATTGCCACCACACGCACACCTACCAACACCAACACCATCAGCACCACCACAACAACAATCGACGACAGCTACACAACAGTCGTCGGCGACCATTCACAATAGTTTACACTTGAACAACAACAACAAAAACAACACAACGGGTACATATTCGAGTAATCCGAATCTTAGCAGCAGCAGCGCCACAAGTGCTGGCGCCACGAATATGAAAAACGTTCGCGAAATACCAATCGAGGTCGAGCAGAGCAAGGTATATCCAAAAGGGGAGCAAGGGGGAACAAGGAAGGCAGAACTGTCGATTTTTATTTCTAGCTTTTCTTCTTCATTATTTCTTGTTTATGCTGTTTGGAAGACGCTAAGTAGGGTCAGAAGTGTAACCGCCTGATCAAATTCGTTGTAGAACATACGCAGAAGACTCTAAGTCTCCTAACTCTAACTAACGCCCATTTCAAAATAAGACAGAAATGTTGAGTCACTTGTCATGTTGTCTCTTTGTTCGCCGAGAGAAGACTTGACTTTCCAATTGGTTGGTTGAATGATGGAAAAGAGAAGTTGAGGGCCTAATCCATTGAGTAGGCTCAGTGCTGTAATTCCTCTCAAACATGCCCACCAACGTAAGGCTGGAGCTGGGAGCGTTGTAATAGAGATAACGCCTCAATAGTTTGAAAGCCAGACACTCGCAAAGGTAGACCTTAGACGATTCCACTTTACACAGCTTGTAAAGATGATCTCTCAGGGGTAGTTGCCCTATAAGAATGCATAGTTCTATTTTGCTTGAATCCAGTAACACTTTTAATGGATTTTTATCAAAATTTTCTTCTTCATGACCCTCTGATTTGAGCAACATTCAAAAACGCTGAACGGTTCGAGTTAATCGATGGTGACAGCCTTGCCAATGGCTTCAGAGCGAGCCAGCTTAGTCCGCCTTTTCAACTATTCCATTTAGCCTAAAGACCTCTCCTACCTTGTAACAATACTTAGCTTTCCTAAAGACCTTTCGTCATTAGGCGAATTGTTCACATAGACAAAAGGGCAATTAACTAATTGAAAAAATTAAGCAGCTGTCTGAAGGTCATTATGTCAATACTATCGTCATTTAGAGAGGTGCTCAACGATTCCGAAATACTCGAGTGCTAACGCTTAAGTTATATTAAGGATCATCGAAGAAATGTGGCAGTAGCTCGGGCTGTCGAAAATTATGTGAATCTTGACTATAATATACAATACTTTCCCCTGTAAATTTATAGCATAGTAAATATCATAAACCACCTCAAACTTTTACTCACACTCGGTGTTCTAAATAATTGTTATGTACTGCTTTTGTGTGCTCCCTTTCTTCTCAAAGCTATCAACATTTTTATGAAAACTACCTTACATTGCACATATGTTTATATATTATAATACAGAATTAAGATTACTCTCTTTCTCTTTCCCTCATCCTTTGCAGGAAGCTCTCTCGCTACGCGCCGGCGATATAACTCAACAGGCTAGCAATAATGTGGCCGCCGCAAGTATTAAAGTGCAAAGTGACACCTTCTCCGCCGATAAGAAAGCCATCTCACAGTCCCAACAATCACAGACGATGACCTCGAACGGCATTATAAGCCAGGAGAAGCATATGTCATCCGCATCGCAAGCAAACTACACAATGACACATAAGGGTGTCTCCAGTTCGGGCAGCAGCATGATCTCGTCCTCTTCGCAGCAAATGTCCGCCACTAATGGTTCGCTCTTTAAATTGCAATTGGATGATCTCAAAGCGCTGACATCGGGTAGTGGACAACGTGAGATCGAGCAAGCGATTGCCAAGTACTCGGGTGTGCTGACAACATTCGTCAACACATTGGAGGATTCAAAGGCGACCCAAGAGAAGTCAGTGTATTTGGAGAAAATCAATGAGATCATGCAACGTGCTTGGGCTGTACCCACACATGGACACGAGCTCGGCTATAGTTTGTGCAATTCATTGCGCAATAGTGGCGGTTTGGATTTGCTCATGAAGAATTGTGTACAAGGTGATATGAAAATCAAATTTTCATCAGCCAAATTGTTGGAACAATGTTTGACCACCGAGAATCGTACACATGTCGTTGACAATGGTCTGGATAAAGTGGTGAATGTGGCCTGTATGTGCACCAAGGAACCTAATACCGAACATTCGCGTGTGGGTACCGGCATACTGGAGCATTTGTTCAAACACTCAGAGGGCACATGTTCGGATGTCATCAAATTGGGTGGTCTCGATGCTGTACTCTTCGAATGTCGTACAAATGATGTAGAGACTCTGCGTCATTGCGCTAGTGCCTTAGCCAATCTGTCACTGTATGGTGGCGCTGAGAATCAAGAAGCTATGATCTTTCGCAAAGTGCCCATGTGGCTCTTCCCGTTGGCCTTCCACGATGATGATAACATTAAATACTACGCCTGCCTTGCAATCGCCGTGTTAGTGGCGAATAAAGAGATCGAAGCTGAAGTACTGAAATCAGGTTGTCTCGATTTAGTCGAACCCTTTGTTACCACCCACGATCCCTCCGAGTTTGCACGCTCCAATTTGGCGCATGCACACGGTCAGAGCAAACATTGGCTGGAACGTTTGGTGCCCGTATTGAGCTCGAATCGTGAGGAGGCGCGCAATCTTGCCGCCTTTCACTTTTGCATGGAGGCCGGCATTAAGCGTGAACAGGGCAATACGGAGATATTTCGCGATATTGGTGCTATCGAACCACTCAAGACTGTAGCGAGTTGCCCAAATGCGATCGCTTCTAAATTTGCGGCGCAAGCGCTACGTCTCATCGGTGAAACGGTGCCACACAAATTGTCGCAGCAAGTCCCACTGTGGTCGGTCGAAGACGTGCAAGAGTGGGTGAAGCAAATCAATTTCGGTCAGTTTGTGAAGCAATTCGAAGAATCACAAGTTGATGGTGATCTGCTGTTGAAGTTGAATGAGGACAATCTACGCGATGATATTGGCATCTCGAATGGCATACTGCTAAAGCGGTTCGAACGTGAGTTGCAAAATCTCAAACGCATGGCAGACTACTCGTCCAAGGACACGGCGAAGATGCATCATTTCTTAGCCGAAATTGGTGCGGAATATTGCACCTACACATATGCAATGCTCAATGCTGGCATTGATCGTAATTCCCTGCCGCAGCTCAATGAAGATATGCTGATTGCGGAGTGTAGCATCAAGAACTCCATACATCGCCTGCGCATATTGAACGCAGTGAAAAACCTGGAAAACTCATTACCCAGCTCGTCGGAGGAGAATATGGCAAAGACGCTTGATGTTTTTGTTAGCTATCGGCGCTCGAATGGCTCACAGTTGGCCAGTTTATTAAAGGTATGTTTTTTGATGGTGTTGAAATATGTTTAACATCAACTTTACTTTACTAAATGCAATCTATCCACTCGCTCGGCGTGCAGGTTCACTTGCAATTACGCGGTTTCTCGGTGTTCATCGATGTTGAGCGCCTGGAAGCGGGCAAATTTGATAATGGACTGCTAAACAGTATTCGTCAGGCGAAGAATTTCGTTTTAGTATTAACACCAAATGCTTTGCAACGCTGCGTGGATGACGACGATGGCAAGGATTGGGTGCATCGCGTAAGTAGCTACTCACAAATATTTTATAAATATTTTACATCGTTGTTATTTTACTTTTATTTTTTGGTTATATAGGAAATTGTTGCTGCCTTGAAATCAAATTGCAATATTATTCCTATAATCGATCAACAATTTATGTGGCCCGAACCCGATCGATTACCCGAAGATATGCGCAGCGTTTGTCATTTCAATGGTGTCACGTGGATACATGACTATCAGGACGCCTGCATTGATAAACTAGAGAGGTAAGTGTTCTGAGAAAGTATATGCATTTATTATTAGTACATGAGGAAAAGTTAAGAGTGTGCGGAATGAGAAATGATCTCTCGATTTCTGAGTACCGAATTAATGTAAAACCAAAATTTCGTCTAGGACAATCAGCTCCATCATTACAGACTTTTAACCTTTATTTCCCTCTCCCTCTTTTTCAACGAGAGTAGCTCCCATTGCATATGCGTTTGCCCGAATTTCTTCTCCTGCTTTAGTAACAAAATTTGGTCTCGTACTCTTGTGCTTAGGTGAAATTCCTATGAAAAACAGATTGTTGCATCCCTCTTAGCGTTTTCCAAAATATTCTCGTAAGCACTCTTTATTGAATGAAAATTTGCATACTATGTTTATGGAATGCTCTTTCAACTGATATGGGATATGTTTATTCGAAGATCTGGGACATATAGTATATTTCTCATGTTAGCATTCGCATTTCTTTGTGCTCAATGAAGGATTCAGCTTCCAAATTTATATTTGCCATGTAATTCTGGAAGGTGTAAAACAAACCACTCTCACAACACATAGGACAAGGAAATCCGTCTTTACTCACTCCACTAAGGCGATCTGTTGAATTCTGCTGCATTCGTTGCTGAAGTAAACAGTTTGTGGTTTTGGGACTCCGCGCTGTCGAGCGGAATGCCTTGGAGTTTCTTAATTACAAGATTTCCTTTTAAATATTCTTATTCCACAACTGAAATTCAGGCCATTCTAAGACAAAACTTGTCATAATTCTTGAAGTTTCCTTTTCGTTTCTCGTCCTCTTTATATGTTTTGATCTTTAACACATTCGCCAAGGATCTTCGTGTTCTTAAACCACACAGTTATACTTTAAAGGTTGCTCCCTTCCTTTATGTGGCCTATCATAATTCCTGCACGTGCGATCACGACAAGATGATCACACCGCTTCGCAGTATGTTTTCTGTGGAAGGCGCTAGCATTTACTCAGACAGGCCTGGGCTCATTTATGGTGAGCTCTATGAGTGTTTGTAATCTCTGTCCTTGCGTCGATTTATTTCAAACTTAAAATCGATATCCAGGTGACTGCGGACTAGTTAGGAACTGCCGTGCTGATGCGCTTGCATGTATGAGCCGGAAAAAGCGATCTGCAGCCGGAGGTGAGCATTGAACCAACTCAACTCGCGAGTGCGGCATAATTCTTGCCTGAGGTGGACGGCGCAAGTTCATAGAAGCTTATTTTTATACCAAGATTAAATCTCCCGCGCTTAGTGGGAATTCTTACAGATAGATGGCCACTGTTGTGGTTGATTAGAGAAAGAGCTGAAGTCATCTAGGAACTGTTTGCGAGACTGAGAATGAGACAATTCTTGGATTGCATTTATCAACAACCCAAAGTAGTTAGTAGACACTGACGTCGGGAGAACTGAGTGAAAAGTTGTTTAGCGTTCAGAATATTTTTTTGCTCCTTGTAGAAACACAAAGGACGTATCTTTTGCTTTTTCTACCTGACCCAACCTACTCCTTAAAAATAGTATTAGCCGCCTTAAGACGCGAGTTTACTCCCCTATCTAGAGCCGTCTGTCATAAAAGGTCTGCTAAATTATTTATGTACAGAAAATTATCGAAACAACCGAACATACAACCGATTTGGTTCGAATGTGAGGTTTTTGGTCAAAGCTTCGTCAAAAGAGCGTCTGAGAGTAAGGAATTGTGCATTCTAAAGACGTAAAATGTAAAAGTGCTCATAATTTAAGGTATATATGTATGCACTTGCATAGGTACTAAAGGAATTATAAGCAGTTATCTCTGTGTCTCTATTCATTCTTCACTCCGCGCACTTTTCAAACTCCTCGCTTAAAAATACAATTATATTAATGATATGGCAGCACTTAGTGAAGTAATTTTTCTAATTTATTTATTATATTTTATGCTGTGTGTTTTACGTTAAAAAAAAATAAATAAAATAAACAATAAAAAAAACAACCAACATTATTATCTAACAAAAATTTTCTTGCAATGAAAAACAAAAAACAAGAAAAAAAAACAAGTATACAAACATACAAACATTTCTTTGCTCTACACTTTTTCACAAATTTCCCAAAAAATTATTTGACTGCTTTCAACGCCAGATGGATATCATTATAAATACATACATACATATGTATTCTAATAGCGGATATGATAAATGCACTTGTGACTGAAAAGTAAAGCCGGCTTAAGCTTGAAAGGTATTACAACAACATTTTCAAGTTTCCTCTATCTACCACAAGCATATACATATATACAATACATACATATATTGTACTTTCGCATCAATGTTGTTCTCAAATAACAAACAAGCATAATTTCGCAAAGATGCAAATGTTTGAGACACATCCATGGCACTTACATGTACATATACGAGCTGCGGCTATAATCTAGACTGTCATAACATATGTATCTGCATATAATATAATATTTTGGTTTAATTTACTTATGTATTTATCAAACAAATTTTTATTATTTTTTTCACTAAGCTTGCCTTAGGAAATTGTCTAAAATCGTGCAAAAGTGGAAAATTTTTCCATTATATACATACTTACATATATATACAATATGCATGCCTTGTCTATGAATTAGTTACAAAATCAACAAACTTTGTATTAACCATGGCTAATGAAATTGGTATTTTTTTCAAAGTGGATTTTAGAAAATTAATTGTTGTACGCACACACACATACAAACATATATGCCTTTAAGCTTAAAAATGCATTCTATTTACATTTCTGGGAATTTTTATACATATTCATACACATATATAGGGGTTTTTCAATAAGAGCTGTTATATTTATTTCCAATGAGAAATGGTATTTTTTTAAACAAACGATCAGAAGCTGATTTCAAAGTGAAGAGGAAGATATGCCATTAAAAAATGGAAAGCTTACAAGACCGTATCGTTTTTAGTGAAAATGTCCATCACCAAAAATCGCAGAATGGCTGCTGTATGCCCTCAATAGCTTCACGAATTCCTTCTTCTTTGAAAGATCGATCGAAATTTCGTTGCTTGTATTACATGTAGCGTCGTACCGTCATCTCTAGATAGCGCTTTTCATTCAGCGGAACTTTCACCTTATCCATAATGTAAGGTCCAATAACCCAGCTGGACCATAAACCTCAAAAAACAGTTATACTTTGAGGATGGAGAGGTTTTCAACAACAAATCTTGGCTTTTCCGAGCCCCTGATGCGACAGTTTTGCTTATAGACGTATTCAGAAATGGGCCTCATGCATTTCAAGGACCCAATCGGCAAAGAACTCGACGTTGTTGATGATCGGCCGCCTTGAGTTCTTGTGTTCACTGAACTTTATACTCATTAAGACCTAAGCTTTGTGCAAAATACTGTGTAGTAGCGTTTGTGGTAGGCCCAATTCCAAAGAACGGCGAGAAATGAACAAATCTGGGTTTTCTTCAACACTTTGGGCTACAGCAGCAATATTCTCAGTTATAATTGAGGGCGCGTACGTGTTTTATTCTTCACATCACTCACTTGTTCCAACAGCTCCATTTTTTCTACAAATTCCCGTATTGCGGTCCGACTACCGTAAAAAGTTTTAGTTTGACGAACCGTCTCCGTCATGTTTTCACCATTTCCCTATTGAAATGCTGTTGAAAAGTGTAGCCATGGCGTAGTTTTTACTTGTCAAATGTCAAAAAATTATAGCTTCAAAGATCACCTCTTATTGAAAAATCCCTTTTATATATACATACATATATTTTCTACTCTGCACTTTAACAAAATTCCTGCACATTTCTTGTCTAATTCAAAATTTGTTTAATATATATTTTTTTCCAAATTTTTCTTTTCACAAAAACCAGATTCATGCGTGGCGAAAAGAATTTGGATCGCATTGTCGGCATACCCAGTACACCCGGCTCGGTGAGCTACCAAAGAATGCACAGCAATGACTCCGATTATCAGCAGAGCGTGGGCGGCGGCAGTGTTAGTGGCGGCACAGGTGGCAGTGGTGTTGTATGTGGCAGCAGCGTCGGTGGTGCGGCGAATAGCAGCGGACAAGGTGGGGCACAACAAAATACGACAACTACAAATACAAATACAACCAATACCAATACGAATACATAAAACGGGGCGATCCAGGGCTAAGTGAAACAGTTTTATGTACTTACATACATACAAACATACATATAAACAATGAAAGCAATTAGCCTGAAATGAAACCTGGATTGCCTCGAAATATGATAATGCATACAGATGTATACACAAATATACATTTAGATGTGTTATATGTATGTAAGGAGTTATAATTATGGTCAAAAGAAAGAAAAAAAAAAACAAAAAATGATATAAATGAAGCAACAAATAACATGAGCAAAATATGTTATGCAAACTAAGATTGCTAAATACATAGATTCGTACATAAAAGATCATAGTGATTATGTGTATGCAAACTCTTCGAATATATATATACAAATTTATATATTATATATTTATTAATAGTTATTAACCGTAGCTTAGTTATTAGTGACGAAAGCATAACAAAAGAGAACAAAAAAAAAAAAAGAAACACAAAAGTTTATATGCCCCAAAAGTCCTAAAACCAAACTCTCCTATTTTCCCGAGCTAGAACTTAACTCCTCATTTCTTTTTTAATTTCTCTTTTAGTCAAGTCGTCTTCTGACTCGAAAATCTCTAGTTTAGTTGTAGTGCTCGTTAGTACAGTTAGCCTAACCTATCAAAAAATTCAAACAAAAAAAAATACTCAAAATGCAAATCTTTTAATGTTGATTCATATTTAATTGATACTAATCACAAACTAGCAGCTAATCACCAGGCAAATAGATACCGGCAGTCACCCTCACCGGCCAGACAACGAATCGGCGGCAGCTGTGGACCGCTCGGCAGCAACGGCCAATTGAGCATGTTCGGGCGCGGCTCGAAGCGTAACATACTAACGCCCTATCGCACGCAGCAAGCAGTAGCGCAGCCAAAATCACTACTCATGGGCGGTTCCATGCAAAATATGTCACCTACCGCCTATAGACCGCCTCGACGTAGCTCGGCTGGCGGTTTACAACACAACAGTGGCAATGCAGCGACAGTCGGTGCTGCAGCCAATTATCGGAGTCATAGTGTTGATGAATTGCTTGATACCACCGATGGTTTGGGCTCTTCGAATGATCGCATAGCCGATATGGCCGCACGTGTTACGGCGGGTAGTACAGCGCTTACCAATGCCAGTTCGACGAGTACACTTCAACCCGGCAACGATTACGCTTCCTCGGTGGGTTCGCTATCCGAACTCAACGAACCGCCGCAAATAGTGGCGAGACGTGAAAAGAACTCGAGTATACCGCCAAATGCGCAACATCGCAAATCACGTTCACTAGATCACTTCCTCGATGAGAAAACACTGGCATTGGTAGTGGCGAAACCACAACCAGCACCCATGGAGGGTACACAGAGTATGCAAAATCTTGCCACACCGATAACACCTGATCTTAGTCGTGGCACACGCACCCAACCGTTGTCACAGAGACGCGCCCCCGACAGCGTGTCCACATCGAGTGCGGCCACCACGCCCGAACCGGAAATCGTACGCCAGAAACCACATGCAGGCATGTTACCGGCGACACGCCGCAGTCCTGAGGGTATTAGCTCCTCGGCAGAGGATTCACAATCGTTGCGCAGCAGCAACACATCGTGTGGAAGTATGTTGCGGTCGCAAATGCGTGCGTCGGCGCATACGCATCGCGGTAGTCAGAATAGTAGCAAGACGTCGTCAGCATCATTGGGTGGCCATGCGGCGGGAAACACTCAAAACAACAACAACAGCAATAATGCAAACAATAAAACTATTCTGAATCGAACAATTAAAAAAGTTCGTTCGCTGATGAAAAAGTAAGCAACAAACACAAACATACACACAATACCACATGCATACATATACATAGTACATACATACAATTTATTCGTACCAACTTACTCTACTCGTATACTCGTTCGTATCGCATCCAGTCAGTCAAAATCTGATAATCAAATTTGAATTGTGTACGCCAATCAGTTCACATAATTTACATACATTTATACATACCTACATATGTAAAGTGAAATAAACAAGCAAATGCATCCGTGTGTGTCCATTTATCAACCAATCAGCAGTTAACTTGTCTCTCTTTCTGTCTGTCTTCTAATACCTATGACTATCTTGCTTTAAAAAGTGCATTGTAATCCTTAACTGTCCTCTCGCTGTCATATTTTATTCCTTACCATAACCATTTTGCTGTGCTTATGTTTATGTTACTCATACTTCCATAACTACATACGTTTTTAGTATATAACTAAGCCTAGTTTTTATTTAATTTGTAATTTTAAATCTAAAGCTTTGAAAGTGCAATATGTAGCTTAAGCGTTGAGTCTAGCATTGGAAAGCTGGTATTCTGGAATTAACTGAACTCCTCAGTCGGAGGTCTGTGTCAGTTCTCATCCATTATGTAGGAATATATCTTACCTAACCGAGTGGTTAGCCGTGTATAGGATCACGAGATTAAATTGTGTTCAATCCAACATCCAAAATCTTAGAATAAAAATCTAATTGCGTTGGCTCCTCGGCAGGGAATTTCCTGCTAACGAGTACATTTTTGACACTAAAAAGAAAAGTTCTCATAAAAATTCATCAGTCGTTCGTAGGTAATTTAGTAAAAAAAACAATATTACGTAAGTCTTTCCAGTTCAAGACGCATAACATAAATTGAAGATCGTCTAAAAATAGCTTAATTTCGTCAGAAAGTAAAAACTCAGTGCCAGTAATCAATTTACAGGATTTCAGTTGAAAGTTGAGTTGATGTGACTGCTGTTCTCACTAGATACACACTTAGGCCTGTAAGTCTAATGATTGTGGATCCGCTAGAGCTTAATTTTTATCTTCTCAAATGCGCTAATCTTGCGAAATTGCTTACTCTAGCTGAGGCTACCTCAAGCAACTTGCTTGCAGTATTTATTGCAATTAAAGTAGTTCCTTCTCTCACTGGTTCGTCCGTCCCGCAACTGCCTGATATGTTCCGATACAGGTCACGGGTATATTTGATTCATTTAATACATTTTTTTAGAACGGCTGGACTCCTTCAAGTAATCTATTTTCAATAACTGACATAAACGTATATAAAAATAATGAATCAATCAAATAATGGGATCTAAAAGAATCTTTGGCTGCCAGTTATCGTTGCATGTTTTGTAAATCGCTTTTTAAAGGCAAAAATCTAATTTCACACCATTTTCATTCATTGATTACTCTTTTTATTACCGCTCATACAAAGCTCTACAACATGCATATATACTTGTTACCTAAACATAATCTTGCTGCACAATTTTATCTATGGTGATGGTTTACAAATGCTTTTTAATTACTATTATCAACTCCGTATACTATAAGTAAGCATATTTTTCTCTTTCAACGCTTATGAGCTATATAACAACAAAGCCTTTTTCTAGTTGAGACAATAACAAAGGCTTCTACTTTCAATATTCTAAATTAAAATTTTTGTGCATATAATTTTCCCACTTTTAATTACAAACTAACTAACGAAATCGCCAATTGAGACACAATTTGGCATTTTTACTTTGACTTCAGAGAAATTTAAGAGCAAACTTTGGGGGCGGCAAGCATAACAATCAACAAATAGTCAATTTTATAAATATTGACTAGTGTGACGTCAGCAAAATAGCTCTAAATGCCAAATATACTGCATGACGTTTAATGATTTTATAATCATCGCATGTGGCCTCTACACCGGCCCTGCGAAAAAAGGTTACTTGTTTATCAGAATACGAGAATTTAAGTTTTGATAATAATAGCTTGTATGCAAGAAAACGACACTTTACTTACTACAAAAATACATACATACATACCAAAATTAAAGAAAAAAATCGACGCAACGCAAAACTGAACTAACTGTGAAATATCTATTTGCCTTGTGATTAGTAAAAGTTTGATATTTATTATTATTCGAATATCTTTTTTGCTAACTTATAACATTTACAATAATAGCGTGTTAGTTAAAAAGAGCTATGAAGTAGTACCGTTATTTAACTGGGTGTTTTATGAGAGTTTTTATATAATAATAAAAACAGAATACATCGAGTTTGAGCAACAATCAAAATACAGGTACTAAGTTAGTTTTTAAATTAACAGAAAAAAGTGCAAAACTTATTAATTCCGTTTTTCCCACTGTCCGTTCTTCTCTTTCCGTTTTTTTTTAATTACTTTGTAAATATTTATACCGTCCGTTTGTCAAAACAGTATCCTTATACTTATATATATTAAATGGTGTACACACACTAAGTAAACTAAACACATATTTACATAAATTCAATGAATTTACTATAAAATTAATTATTGAAAAACAAAAATTAAAAAAAGAACAATATAGGTCTTAAGTTTAATTTTAAATACAATTTAAATTAAAAAAACATGCAGCAAATCCGTCAATATATGATTAATAAAAAAAATATTATTATTATAAAGAGAGAAAAAAAATTTTAAGAATAATTATTTTAAAAATTAACTCTGTAAGTGATATTTTTTCTATAAATTCTAATTAACATATATAAATACATACGCTGTATATTGATTTAAATTTTAACCGTACATTAAAAATGTCTTAAAAGTAATAATTATATTGTTTGAAAAAAAAAACTTTTATAATATAACCGTGCAAAAACCACAATTGGCTTTTAAGTGAAAATAAACCAGAAAATAAAAACCAAAACCAGGATTTTACATTTATTTTTGAGCAGTATTCAAATAGATTAAATAAAAGTTATTATTTTCCAGACGTACTGTAAAAATTACAATTATAGAAAGGGAGAGTTTTAAATTTAGCTAGGTTGTTGTGTCTTAATTCTTTCACGATTATGCTTTATTTTTGCTGCTTATTGCATGTTTATTTTACTTTTTTTGTAATTCGCTTTATTTATTATTACAAAAGTTATATGGGAACAGCATATACATATTTAAGTTTGCAACGTTTAAGAACTGATAATAAATAGTACTATGAAACTAAAATAACTATGATATATTTTTGTTAAAAGAGTACACCTATACATACATACATATAAAGCTTAATGTAAAAAATCCGGTTTTACCTTTCATATTAACGATTGTAGGCACGTTCATATTATTCCACTTCCGATTTTTTAATTTATTTAAATTTAGCACCTACAAATTTTCCACTATAAGAATTTATGCTATCTTTATACAAATTTAGTTTTCATAGCCCTTTTTGCAGAGTCACGTTCGTTCTTATTATTCCACTTCTGAATTTTTTATTTATTTCTTCCTTTTTTTGTGAACAGTGAGCACCCAAAATTTTCACTTTTTTTATGAATCACTCATACAAATTTTCACCGTAGGATTTTTTAATTAGTACAAAGGACAAACACATATGAATGACAAAAGTAATTTAATTATTTCTGATATAAAAAATAAATCAAAACAATACAGTATAATTTTTTAATTAATTAATCTCGCACATATTTGATATTTACTTATTATATTTTAAATTATTTAATTTTTCTTAATTCCTAAAAGTCACAATCATTTAACTACAAGCAATAGTTTTATTAAGCGATTTAAATCTAATTTTATAACTATTATACCGATTTGGTACTTGAATACAGCGCCAAAATAACTTACCTATTTGTCATAGAAATATAATATTTTAATATTGTAATTACGTGCTGTCCACAATTGCTTTTAGTTCTAACTTAAAACGCTTTTGCTAATTATAACTGATTGACATTGTAATTTCCCGTGTGGTGTAACTTTGTTTTGTACTTTTATGTTATAATTCACTTGTTAAACGTATCCAAAGCTTTTAACTACAATATTTATCCTTGTACGAATAGCTGCACTCTTACAAATATTTTACAACCTCCTTGTCTTAAAACACTAATTTATTTAATTTTTAATCAACACTTTACTTTTCTTATTTTTATATTTGTTTTTTTTTATATTTTTTAATTACTATCGTTTTATTTTTCATAGACCATAAAAGAACATCTTCTATTCCGTGTTGCGCCTATTGCCTGCAAGCATCATCGTCGTGCTCGTTCACACCCATTTCGACGTGTCTGTCCCCTCCAATGCAACTACATCCTAATATCACTTAACCTGGACTATCATAACTGATTTGTGTGTTAAGTTGAACATAAGTATGTACACAAGCAAAAAAAAAAAACTGACAAGCTTCTTTGGGGAATTATACATTGGCAACAAATTGAAATGAAACGTTTTGTAAAACGAAAAAGAAAAATACTAAAAACTAAGCACCAAAAAAATGTGGAACGAAATTCCTGTGGAACACAACAAAACTTAATTTCGAGCTAGCCTCAACATTGGTCGTCATAACTACAATTCAAAATGTTTATTGTTGTAAATTTATATGTTTGAGCGTGTACTGACTTTTTGTTGTAATCGTTTAATTAGCCGTAAACAAACGTAACCAATAAGCACACTGTCAACTTTTTGCTATTTATTACTAAAGCAATACTTCCAACAAAAAAAAAAAAAAAAATAAAAAAAAATGAATAATAATAGCAAAAAATTATAAAAACTAACATGGAATTAAAAACTGTGAGAATGAAGTGGACGAGAATCAAATGATAAATCACTACTAAATTTCCGATTTGATTTCAACTTATTTTTATTTATTTATTTACAATAAATCGTAACCTAACCTCACTTTTTATCATTCTGTACAAAACATTTTGTTATAGTTACACAACTGATTTTTAAAAAACAAACAATTTATAGAATGTAAATATATATTTGTTTTATAATCATACGCTCATTTAGTAACGATTTAGATGAGGACGACATGCATGGTATAATATTAAAGCAAGCAACAACACCATCCGCCAGCCGTATTATATCTTGCTAGTATTACCAAAAGGAAGTCAAAGGACTATATTGTATTATGCAAACACCCAACGAACAGCGCGCAAGCAGCTAAGAAAGGTCTGGACATTATGGAAAAAATCTAATTTCATTCTAAGCCAAGGAGTTGTCGTCTTTTGTTGCTTTTGCTTAAAGCACAAAAGCAATTTCTAAGTCCACAAGCTCCTGATACAGTCGACTAGTACTTCCTTAAGGCTCGCTGGGAGAATTGTTTGAAAACTAGATGTATAGTTAATAATTATAAACACAAAAGAACCGATGTACGTACGAAGTATGTATGTCTTAACGAAATATACTAACGAAAATTGTTTGTACTATTTTAAATTTATACATTTTAAGTATATTTCGTACACCGTTTAGTAATTTTGGAATATTATTGTTTCAAGTTTGCTAAAATTCACAACGTATCGAAATAAATGTTGAAAGTATTATCTAAAAAATGTCAAAATACTCGAATCTTTCACATAAACGGAATCTTTGAACGTAAGTACGATTAGGTGTTAGTAGATTCGAACTAAATTAGAACTTGAAAAGCTCTTAAGAATTGAGGTCAAGTAAAAAGAAATCCAATATTTTTCCGTAATTAAATATATACAATATATATCAAATATGCACTGTTTTGCTCGATAACTTTTTACCATTTTGAAGGAAAGCTCATTATGCTTCTCACATAGAAACCCTACTGGTAAAACACTAGGACTATCAATATTCATACGCTTCTCTTAAGGACAATTCCTCACCAGCCAAATCATACGCCATAGACAGAAACAGATGATAATCACTTGAAGCGCAATCTATAAGGTGGATAAAATGGATGCATAAGAACCTCCTAACTAAGCTCTTGGAGCTTCTGGCAAGTCACAAACGATATGTGTGGTCTGGCGTTATCCAGATGAAGCAAAATTCTCCTACTGTTGGCCAAAACAGGGCGTTTCTGGGCAATTGCTTCCTTCAGACGGTCCAATTGCTGATAAAATTAAGAGTTCGACCGTAGTTGGAGCCGCCCACAATACTTGATATCTTGCCAGTCCCACCAGACACACAAAAAAATCTTAATGGTCGTCAATCCTGGCTTGGAAATGATTTGTGCTGACTCACTGTCTTTCGGTCACGATTGTTTTCATTTGTTTATTTTCATTAGTCACCAAACGCTTCAAAAAGGGTCGATTTTATTACGAGTCAGCAGAGGTTCGCGGTTGTAAATTTGTTCTAATTAATTCGTTTTTCGCAAGAAAAAAACATACATGTATAATACTCTTCAAGTGATCATGGATTTCATCGACGTGGTATCCATATTAATATGGAGCTCAGTTTTGCAGAAGGGGCTAATATTGACAAAAAAGACACCTTCACGCTCCTTTGTCACAATTTTTAATGTAAATATTCCCCTTTCATGAACTGAAGCCCAAGAAATAAAAATTTCTTTGAAGATAAGATATTAAAATATGTTAATTACTCTTTACACAGGAGATCGAAGGTACAGCTAGCAATAACTAAATCAAACCTTCTAGTAATTATATGAAGTCTGATAATTATATACTCGTACATACATATGCAAAAAATGTTTGCTCTATAACACAATTCGAAATATTTGTCTATATCATCGATCCATTATTTTAACCCTAACTGGTCACTGAAATATGGTGCAAACAAGAATCGTTTCACTTTTACTTTGATTATGAAAGATACATAGATTGTGAGGTTTCTCAGAATACCTAGATCCAAAAATATCTGATCAGTTGATGTTGTTGACGGCGGTTAATTATGTTTGAGAGATAATATCTAAAAATGGTTGACTCCAACGAGTCTCACATTGCATTCAATCAAAGCTGTACTGCCACAAACTTTGTTGTATATCTAGTTTGAAGAACATTTTTGTTCTTTTCGCCAATTTAAATAGTCTTTTTGGCTCTTTATCCATTTCAGATAGAAGGTCCTGCAGCTTTTATGATCCAAGTAAGCCACTTACAGATTACGTGTATCCGTGCATTCCCTACAACTCCTTTTGATTTTTTTATTCTAATGAATAAATACTAAAACCTTTTGCATTTAATAAATACTAAATGTCGCACTAAGACTAATAGAATAAAAAAATATATTAGGATTTCGGAATTTTGTAATTTGGAGTGAATTCCAATTGAAATGATTAATTTAAAATCATAATGGAATACTACACAGAAAAAACACTGCTTAACTCATATTGAGGCATTTTAGATAAAAGTTCAGATTTTTTAAAGTGGCAACACTATGTATCAGATTTCTGCATTACATTTATATCACCTCTGTTTTGTTTACATTCCTCATTTTCATTTCACTTTTATACTTCATAAATTCATAAAATTGTGTACAATTCTTTTAGTTTTAATTTAATAAAATTTGATACAAATGTGAATGGAAAGAATGGCAACTAACAATGCGGAACTTTCATGTCAGTCTGGACTTAAGCGAACTATTGCGGCAGGCACTGAAGAGGAAGAACTAGAACTAAATAAGCTTTATGGTGTGAAAGACGAATTCAAATAAAACAAATTTTTAAATTATAACTTTAAATTTTAGATTATTTACACAAGCAGCTGTCCATTTCACGCACTGATCGCTTAGGCGGACGGGCACTGGCTACTTGGGATCTTAATGAGAAGGCTGTGCGCGTGCTGCGTAAAGATGGCAAATTTGGTACCTTTGGCTACAGTCATGGCGGTCAATGCTATTTAGAAAATTTTGAAGCATTATTCCTTTTAGAGATGGTTAGTTACCAACCTTAAGAGTAAGAAAACTTTTAATTGATTCCTGTATTTTTAGAATCGCCTACAATTGGAATATTACTCGATGATTATGTCTGTGGAACAGGCTTACACACTGCTACTAGGCGAAGCGGCTACTACCAAGTGTAATGAATATCTCGTTTATTCCCACTTAACACGCGTTGGTTACATTTTAGTTCGTCACCAGAATGTGCCATATTACGATAATATCGAACCCACAGCGGAAGATTGCGTTTGGGCGCTGGCATTAAGCGCAGTCAATAATCGAGCAGTGCCTGAGAATGTTAAGAAATCTCCTTTTTTTGCAAAAGTAAAAAGAGAAATGAAAGTCATTAAGGAATGTATAAAAAATCAACAATTTCCTGAGCAAAAACAATTAGATAAAACAGAATCCGGAGTGATAAATTTTGGTGTTAAAGTTATTTCCAAAGGAAAGCGAAAAATTTTAAATGATGAAGTTGAAAACCCAACCGAAGCTAAACGTAGATGTCTCGAAGTAGCAACTAGTCAAAAAAGTTTTCTAGATTGTCTTAAGGACGAACCGGAGTACAAACAATTTCAAATGATATTTACAAAATTTGACATTATTCAAATGGATGATAACAATATGGTCACAGACGACGAGGTGCGCACTTTACCAATAACATTCGATTTATATTTACATAATGATGGTTTTAAGAAGAGTACACCAAAACCACCAACATTTCGTTTAATTATACTAGGAGTGCATGAGCCATTCCCTACGCATGCGGAAATAGCGAATACATACAATTTACAGAAATACCCAGTGCCAGTGTTAGTGGTGTCAGTGGGTGAATCGAAGCAAATACAGGCGCTCGTCTACTATTTTAGTTGATAACAATATATATAATCTTAGTAGTTATACGCTTTTCAGAAAAATACATAGACATATGCATAATATTAGCATAAAAATTTAATATAATAAATATGTTTCTGTTGAAATTGTTGTCGTACTTACTGGACTCTCAATACATAAGGGAAATGTTATTTGTCGAATGTTCAACGCATTTACACATTTTCACTTTAAATCATTTAAATGTGCTCAAAACAAAATTTTTTAAAACAATTTCTTAGATACTCTGCCGGTTCTTTCAATTCGTTCAGAAAATTATCGGTAATTAATTAATTTTGTATTAAAGTGTTAATTACTCACTAAATTTTATTTTATCGGATTTAAAATAGAATCTTGCGGAATAATACATTTATATATGTGTACCAACGAACAAATACTGTTCTGGAATGTACTAAACTTCCCGCCGCAACATACTAGTTTGAGTTTTGGAAAGATAAAAATTCGCCCGAAACAAATTAAGTGTATATAATGATTGTTCTTCTTCAATTGCGCCACATCCCAAACGGTTTTAAATGTACTGTATTGCTATTATGTACATGTTTTTAATAAATTCAATTCACGGTAGCCTATATAGTCTATAATATATTCAGCAATCCGGAACAGGAAATTTCGTTTAAGTATTTTTAAATGACCAACTCACTATCAAAGTGGTAGCACTAATCACTCTTGCAGAGTTGCATTTTCAATGAGAACTGATTTACATCAATTTTAGTTACTAATAGGTGTGTTCCACTACTTCGTATACAAAATTTGAAAAATCACAATATTCTATAAAGAATTGTTGAAAGTAGTCACATCCGTGTCGTGTGTGAGGTTTGCTTGTGAGAATCGGTTGAAGATAATAAGTTTTTTCGTTAATTATACCAGTTGCGCAGCTTTTTTTTATTGTAAAGCGCAACTTATCGCAAACACACAGTTTACCTCTCGTTTTAAGCACTCAGTTTACTAATTTCGCTTTACACAGATGTTGTCACTGACGAGAGCTTTAAGCAACTAACATGCCAGCAGTGTGGGTTTTCCCTTTTATATACTCGTCGACCGCTCGCATACAGGATATGGAAAGCTCTTTACCAGAACATGCTCTAGTTATCGATTTAATGTTCTCTTTTGACATTTTCGTAAAACTATTTTATATGTACGAAGGGTTTTGCAGCTTTTATTTAAGAGCTCAATGGTCAAATCCAAGAATTTAAACTTAATCAAATTTACTAAAATACAAGTATAATTTAAAATAATTTTATTAGAAAAAATCTCCTTCTTTACTATCGCAGATACAGCTTACGCGACAAAAGTCAAGTTAACAACATTCTAATTTATTCGGAAATCATAACCTAGCAAGCGTAGACGCTGAACTATATCAATGTCACCGTATATTTCGTACTGCTCTTCGTTCCTTCGGCTGCGATACTCGCTCATAAGGTTTACGCCAAAACTTTCTCGAAAATTCCCTACGATGATTCAGGTTTTGTAATTGTCCATGGCTCCACGCCATATAGCAGGATGGTAAATGTCCATGGCTCCACGATATATACAATAGCTGGACGGTGAAATTTAGTGACCTGGTGAGTTTGATCTTTGCTTGTCGAGAGAGGATTTTTTTTTTGTCGATTGTCTGTTCAGTCCAAAGCAGCACTTGTTGGTAAGAGGTATACTGCGTTCCAGGCAGACATCATTGTTGCTGTTAAATCTGGTTTCCAGATAGATGAAGTTATCTACCACTTCAAAGTTGTAACTGTCAATAGTGACGTGCGGGCTGCATCGTGAATACAATAGCCATTTGTTTTATTTCAGGAGATATTTTGCAATGCCCACGTTCTCTATCAGACCCATTCGCTTCGCTTATTCATCCAATGATATCAATATCATTGGCGAACACCAGCAGTTGAACACTATTCTGGAATATTTTACATTATCTATCTAGCTCTGCAGCTCGTATCTTTTTTTTTCAGATTAAAGAAGTCACACACTAAGGCATCGCATTGCCTGAAACCTCGTTTGGTATCGCACGGTTCCGAGAGCTTTTAGTGTTGCACAGCATCAGTTCACAGGCTGGGATTAAAAATTCAGACTAACAGTGATAGGTTCTCCTCCCGACATACTAACTTTTTCATTGGAGCTGGTTTCTATGTGGCGAGTCCAAACCTCGCTAGACAAGTAAGTATGAATTTTATACACACCGAAGCCTGCTTGTAGCTCTACACGCTACAATTAGACTTCAGCGAATTCTTCAAGGCTGAACAAATTTTGTCCTACCGTCGCTTGTCGCTTGTCGCTTTTCGTATCGTCGCAGCCTTAATGTTTAATGTATTATATGCCTCGGCTTAATCATTCTCGTTGTTCGATGAATTCATTTTTTAGTTTCTTTTTATAATATCATAAACAATTTTCAAATAATGTGAGTTTGCTTCAAATTATATTGGGTGAACTATTCGGGAAACGGATGTAACCTCGGTATCCGGTTGGTAGTTATTCTCATAACGACATTTAGATCCATATGCCACTGAGGGTAAACAGCCAAAACTCGATTTTACAATTTTCCTACTAGTTTGTTTTGTTTTTAATTTTAACGCTCTTTACTCAATTTAATTGGCAACGAATGAAATGTCAACCATAGCGAAAAATCATACAAACTTTAACTTCCGTTCGAAAACTCTTTCGTTACCCAAAATTCCAATAAACTATAAAAATAAAAAGAAATTTATTTAAAAAAAAAAAATATTACCTTTAGAAATGCGAATTTTCCAAGAAGCGTAGGCAGAAAGCAAACGTAATCTGCTCGTGCGCAGTTTCAAAAAACAAATAAACGCGAATACCCAAATTTTTCCACAACTGTGCCGAGTGGGTAGCCAAAGTTTCAGTCATTTCCAAGCGGTTGTCGTGAGCGCAAGTATCAATTGGCTACCGATAACGATTTCCGCACGTAGAAGAAAATTCGCGTAAATATAGTACACAATAATTATTGCTACTGAAGAATTCGTTGCTCGTTAAAGTCGTTAAAGAATTCGGTAACTAAATACATTGTAAACAGAAACGCGAGCAACAACTAAGTGGCCCAACCAACGTGTTGCAGAAATTGCCAAGGCAACAATACAAATATTTGTGAAATATTGGTCAGACTACACGTAAATCGCAGAAACTTCATTTAATCATCATGGTAAGTGAACAAAGTGCTTGAGTGCCTACATTATTATTAATGATGAAGTTCGATTCACTTTCACGCGTTACGTTGAAGTGCTTTGAAATTGAATGATGCAGTTTGTTCTCTGCGACGGCAGTTAACCTCTTTTGTTTGACATTATCCTACTAACGTCAACTGTGATTCATTTATTGGATTTTTTCTCCCCCCACAAACGTTTGTTGGGTGTGCAATGGGCAGGGGGAGTGTGAAGAAAGTGCGTGCTCTCGCTACTGCTAGTGTTGCTGAGAAGTGTGTTCGTTCCCTTTTCGACTGTGATTCGGCCTTTATTGACAACGACCTTGACCTCCATATGTACATATGTATGTATCAAGTATTTCTACAAGTGCCAGTACAAAAACGTTTGCAATGCATACATACATACATATATACAGGCATACATTTGTATACAAAAAGATTTCGAAGAAGAAAAGTAGTTGTTGTGTGCTCGTGCAAGTAATTACCCTTAAATAAAATACTTCATTACAATAGGTATGTGTATGTATGGGTTAGGTCGAGTAAAAAGTAATCCATTATTTTTACAATCTATGATTTTGCTGATCTGTAACTCGCGTTCTACAAGTGCGATTGGATTACGCTATATCGCGTTGGAAAGATGGTATTTTAACCTAAAAAAAAGATAACAGGAGATCTTAGATCAGTGGTCTTTGAGCGTAAATCAAAGATGACGAAAACACAAATCAGACAGCTGAAAATGTGAACAGTGTTCCTGGTCCTGGTACTGTAGCAGCCAACCATACACAATTTTGGTTTCGTCGACTTTATTTCGGTAATTTTGGTGTAAAAGATGCTTCACTGAGCGCAAGACCAATATTCGAAAATGTCGATAAAATAATGAAAATCATCACGGCTGACTGTCGCATGCATTGTTTCTAAAAAAAGAAGACCGAAACCACTTGAAAATGTCTGGATACGCAAAAAGCCTCGATGTTTGAGTGCCGCTTGAGTTAATGAGAAAAAACCTCAATGGAACGGCGGTTACCAACTGCGAATCGCTGCTAAGTGGTTACAAAATCGAAACGGATGCTGACTGGTCATGAAAAGTAGATCACTTACAGGAACATTAATTAAAAACGGCCTTGATCGAATGGCATCGAGTCGTCACAAAACGTTCTGCAAGTCGGGATTGACGGCCAAGAAGGTTTTGTTGTGTGTTTAGTTGTATTGTCAAGGAATGAGCTGCTTTCCGACGCCCAAACTCCTAATTTGGACCTATACTATTGGAAATTGGAAAATCTGATGAAAGCCGTTGCCCAGAAGCGGCCGATTTTGGCCAACAGTTAGGGTTTTGTGTCTCAAAAAAAAAAAAAAAAACAACGCCAGATCACACGTATCGATAGTACTCTACGTAAGCTTTGTTGGGAGGTTATTATGCATTTGCCTTGTAGTATGGGCCTCGTACCAGGTCCTTGCCATCTGTTCCTGTCTAAAGTGAATGATTTGGCTGGTGAAGAAATGGCCTCAAGAGAAGCCTGTGTAAACTTATTTTCCCAAGTTTTTCCCATTACGAGCAACGCAAGCTCTTCTGAGAGAGCAATAAGAGCATAACCTTAAAATATAATCGTAAAGAGTTTTGAAGAAAAACGGTGTCTATTTGATATAAATCTAAATACTCTATCTATCTCTATTGAAGCCTTTAAATGATGAAATGGATTACTTTTTACTAGATCAATATATGCAATGCCCAACCTAAGAACTTAAAAATTGAAAAATAAATGATCACAACTGAGTGCATAGTTCGACTTTTGCTTCAGTTGATTACAGTTTTTTTTTATCGATCGATAAGTTAATCTTTATAATCTTAATTTATCATTGGTTGCTGTTATAAATATTTGATTAGAGTTGTATGAGATAAATAAAAGAATCCGAATGCAGGGAGACAGAAGAGAAATAGAGAGAGAGAGAGCAGGGAGTGCAATATGTACATATGGTACCAAACGTTCTGTTCCGTGAGAAATGTCCGTAAAAATTAGCCAGTAACAAAATGTCCACATTTCACTCTCCCGTTGCAAATCTTACTGGCTTCTTGCCTCAGGAAAAATTTTTAGCAATTGCTATTGTCCATCCGTTTACCGAACAGGACTTATATGATTAACAGCAAAAGTCTTCAAATTACTAATAAGCAGATTATAAAAACAGATCTTCAGTCAACCAATAAAAAGGATTTGATAATATTCTTGGGTAGCATTCGCTAACTAGTAAAATTATCAGAAAATATTCGAGAGCTCCAAGGGAAATATAGGAATATACATACATAAATCACCTGGAAAGTGTATGTACTGTGTGAAAAACTGGCGTCTAGATCATGAAAGTTCCATGCCTACAGCTCTGAGAATACTCGATACAAAAGAAATTCGATGCGAAATTTCAAGATTCCTGCCGCCAAAAAAGCTACTGGATTTCACCAAAATAGACAAAAATTCTGGTACAATAAAGAATGCCGTGCAACAGTTGGAAAATAATAAATCAGAGAAGAGAAATACCTGAAAAATCTTTGACTCGTTGTTGGAACTTAGCAAGGTTTCCAAGATGGGAGCTGATTTCTATGAGAGATAACTAGCAGAGTTGGTAAAAAAATATGTACTTATGTTCTGAATTTTTTGGAGTTTATGGAGCCGTTAAGCAAATGTTTGGGAATGAAGAATCCGATCGTTCTATCAATGAAAATATAATACACCTCCTTTCATCCTACTTTCATTAAGCGATTGTACCCCACTCATGAAAGACAAGAAAAAGGAATGAAGCAAGCAGTATTATGGACTTGGTCAAATGAGAGGCGTACAGTTATTGACTCTGCTACTGAGAATAGCAAGAATTTCAACGTACATTTATTTAAGTATTGTATAAAGTTGATATTGCTACCATTTCCCCAAAAAGCCACGTTAGAGCTGCTAGATTTAAGGGAACAATAAAATTGAATTCTATGGATCAGAAATTGAGTGAGGGCGATATAAAATACAGCCACTGAAGAATTAACTTGCATTTAGTAGATTTTTTTTGTATGAAGGTTTCTCACTTTAGCTCGCCTCATTGGCTACCGAGAGTTTGCTACGTCTAAGACGGTAAGTCTCGAGCTGCTTGTGAAATATGTAAAAATAATAGTTTCCGCGAATGACAGAAGAAAACTTTTCCCATTTGAGTGGATAACTTCATATGGTTTCATCCTTTGCTACTTTTGGCTAAGCAGGCTATGGAAATGTAAAGCCCTCTCCCTCTCTCGTCGAACCAACGCAAATCTCTACAAGCCATTCCTTACACCTGTCCCCGTGTAGAAGCGTGTAGGATGTCGGCATACGATGAGTTGAAGCTAGGAATTTTCGAGGGAAAGGTTTTGCTTAACATTTATTGTCCTTTACGAGTTAGCAACAGTAAATACCCCAGACGATCGAACGGTGAGCTGTACGAGATATACGGTGACATTGACATACATAGGTCAGGGATTAAGCCGACAACGAGCTTTTCTTCCGAATGAATGAAATTATACCCGCCGATGGAAGTAGAAGAAGCGAAGGACCTGCACTCCGTTGGAAGCAACAGGTAGCGCAATTGATATTCCCAATTAGAGCACACACAGCGAAGAGAACAAAGTAGTGACGAACGGTGGCTATGCCTATGAAAAAGAAGTGGAAGTCAAGAGTCAAAAATATAGAATCTGTCCAAAGTGGACGAAGAACCCAAGTTAAAAGTTGCTCAGCATAAGTGATTGAATTGATTCAAAAGTAATTAGCAGCAAATTAAAAGCACGCTAGAGATGTAATTTTAAAGTATCGGAGTAATATCGTTGCTATGGAAAGCAAAGTTGGAAAAACATCACTAAAAGCCACTCATCGCTTAATTTACTATCGGTTTGTCCACCACATTTGCCGAATGGTTAGAAGTGCTTACTCTACCAATGGGAAGACCAGCGTTCGAGCTCTACAAAATTCTAGAAAATGAACTTTTCTAATTACGGAGAATGTCAAGAGCTCCGAATGTATTTTTGACATAAAAAAAGCCTCCTTCCTGCTCACTTCGTAAGCGGCTTAGGATAAACTGTAGGTCGCTCGTCGCTCTTTTGGAAAAACATCACAAGACGCACGAAACAAATTATAGGAGGAGCTCGGCGGAATATCGCTTCAGCGGTTACAAAGCTCGTTTACTTGCATATTTCTTTCTTCATTATTATAACCTGCAATTTATATACATATATACAATAATAAAAAGAAGATTTTCGGGTGAGAAATGACGAAGCGAAAAGAGACAAGAAAGAGCTGCTGCTTTGGCCTGTTATTCGGCCGAATATGTAAAAATAAAATTTTAGCGGATTTTCTACATTCCAGGAGTGTTGACGTCAAAATACTTACATATAAATATCCAGTGAGATGTTTATTATATTTTAATATCTTGTTGCTTTTGTTTTTGGCATAACTATATGTGAGTTCGCTTATTATTTGGCTGTTTTAAGGCAAAACTCACTCGAAATTATCATCGATTTCGAGACAAAAGTGAATTGGCGTTTTTTCAACGTAGTTTTAGTATTGCATTATAATGCAAAATATACATACATTTGTACATACAAACGAGTACATATACAATACAGCTGTATTTCCCGCTTATTAAAACACTCGCTTAACAATAAGCCGGCAAGCTAGCTTTCTTGCCTTGTCATATTCGTATGTGCATGCACATGTATGTATGTGTGTATGTGTACATATGTTGTGCTTTTATGGTCATTCAGCATTATTATTATATATTTTTTTTTTTGATTACACTTTGAGTAAAGTAAACAAAAACAAATACTAGCCACGCTGTTATGAATCGACGCATTCAGTCATGACCAAAAGCCGGTGATAAACGAATAACTCGCGGCGTGCGCGCGCTACTTCATTTATTGTGATTAAAATAATAATCAACTAACGGTATCATGTCATTGATTTTAATTTGAATTTTATTCTTTTGCTCAAAACAATTACACATTT